TCAAATGATCTATTTCTTTGCCATATATTCTATGTACCTAGCAGAACCTATAACTTATCACTCTGTAGGGCAAGTATTAAAATTTAAGTGACTGCTGCATGGAGACTGTACAGACCAGTCATAGAGGTGGTGAAGTGGCCCGTGATTTTAATGCCTGGACTTTATTTGAATTCCACCTGTGAATCAAACAGGCATGTTGAGATAGTTTGCTAGTTTGGCATAGAGTAATATTTCCCTGTAAGAACAGCAGTAGAAGCTACAGATGTCCATTGAGAGGTGAACCACAAATCTCCACAAATTCCAATCTTGTAGAGTCTGCCACCGACATTCAGCCATGTTTCAGAATTAAATGCTGACAGACGTTATGATCTATCCACTTTGGATGTTTCCTGGCAACGCCTGCCCAATCACATGTCCTTTGTTAAAAGGAGACTGATAAAGCAGATTCTACTATGCAGTCATCTTTCTCCCACAAGCAAACACTAACTGTAATTCTGAGTTCTTAACAATATTATGAGCTAGAAGTGTAAAATTTAATGAATAATGCTAATTCCCAACGATTAAATAGTTATTTTAGAATATTTTATCCATAAATATATGATGCTAATATGATTCTCTATACACTGTAACTATGGATATATTATTTATCATGTTGTTCAAATTGAAATGTAACAATGCTGTGTGACAAAATATTGCAAGCTTGTGTCAGTGATAATGATGTTATAATCCATATAAATATTTTGCGTGTGCACATGCAAGGCTTTCTTACTAAAAACCTTAAATTGTAATGTGATGGACATCATTGCAACAAATGGATCAAATATGCTTTTTATTTACAGGGCTATAAAATATTAACTGTACAGTTTGAAAACTGAAAATGTATTCAAACAACTGAGATATTTATATACAAAATAGCCATTTAACTTTGAACATATTCAACAAAAGAAAAATCTAAAAGAATTGGATAATTTGTATTTTAAACAAAATCTCAGAAATCCTCTGACAAAGCAGTACCATTGAATCAGTATGATGGAGACTCATTAAACATGCTGTTTTTGTGACAAATATTATGTCATTCTTTGATGACAAATGAAAAGTATTTTCTAAATTTCACTTGGCATTTATATTTCGCCACAGGAGACCATTTTCACAAATATGTTGACTTACTTTACTTTTAATTCGTCTCCATTTCTAATTTTATTGAACATCAATCTCATTTATTTCTGCAACAGGTTTTCGATTATTCATGATTTTAAGCCACATGAAAATAAATTGAGAGACTAATGTTTGCAATTTCATTTCCTTTATTCTTTCATGGGATGTTGAGGTTGCTGGGTGGGCTAGAATTTATTGTCCATCTCTTATTTCTACTGAACTGAATGACTGGCTTGGTCATTTTCAGAGGGCAGTTAGGAGTCAAGCACATTGCTATGAGTTTGGAGGCACATCTCTGCCAGACTAGGTAAAGACAGCAGATTTCCTAATGATCTGGCAAACTAAATATGTTTTATGCCAAATGACAATATTTTCATGATCAGCACTGCTGAGACTACCACTGAATTTCAGATTTATTAATTTAATTTACATTTCATTAGCTGTATGATAGGATTTGAACCTAAGCATGAATCTGGGCCTCTGCAATCCAATGATAATACCACTACATCACCACCTCACCGCACAGTTGAACACAACCTATTTGTACAATTTATTATTTGCTATTTTCATACAGACATTAACCTCCTTATTTTAAGTAGGTTAATGCTCCTGCATGAAAAGTGCAAGAAATAAATTAAAAGCTATTTTAGACGCCTAGTGGCTGCATAAAATCAAGAGCAAAAGCAAGTTATACAACCCACTCGCCTGGATTAATGTTATATTCCAATTGAACATAATGGAGCATAAAGTTAGATCTTTTGTATGTCACAGCTCTCTGACATTGTGGAAATGGGGTCTAAGGTCCAGTTACCTTCAATTGCCTAAACCAATAGAAAAATACATTACATTTATATGAGGGAATTTTTTCAGTACATTTAGTCCTAAATCTAGACTGTGATATAATCTGTAAAGTATTTTCAAGTTTGTTTTTACAGACTACATTTTAGTTTGTTTTGTGGAGCTGTGGTACATGAATGACTTATGGTGTTGCTATGTTTTATGTCTAGGCAATGTAGTCTTTAATGTTTCCATCCATATGTGGAGTGAATTTAGTTATGTCCACCAACATTGAGATAATGTCCTCAGCTGCACTACCAATAGAAACAAAAGACTGTATACAATATATATATTTTTAAAAGGTTACCATATGTATGGAAGACGAAGAAAAAAGTATCACGTCCATCTACTGACATGGAAATATGCTGGTCTGCAAATCATTGAATACGATTTGAAATTAACAAGGTGGAATTTGAACTCGCAACTTCTAAGTTAACTAGCCATTATTACTACACACCATGCATGAGAGGAGTATTTGTTATGTTTATAGTGATTTGATGGTTTGATTTATTTATAGTCACATGTGTTTTGTTACACACCACAGTGGAAAGTATTGTATAGTGTCGCCACTCTCCAGCGCCATCTTAAAAGACAGAGAAAACCAAAACATAGAAAATAAAGGCAGAAGAATAAGGAAATAAAGAAAAAATATTCAACTTTACAGCAATTATTATTATGTGCTCTGCCATGGGCCATGGGTAATGGGCCTGGTGGCCGGGCACAAGTCCTTTTGCCACAATGTCACCACTGGAATCAAAGTTGCCACTCTTTGGCGCCATCTTGCCAGCAGCGACACCCTTGCCACTATGAGTCCTCATTGGATCTTGCCAATGCAGATACCACTGATGCCGCCAGGTTCCATTCCAGCCCAAATTCAACTCCGCCACCATGAGCCCACTTCAGGCTCAAACTCACCTCCACAGCCGACTCCAGAATCTGTGCTAGACATAGATGCTTCCGGGAACCCAAACTCACCTTGCCACAGCAGCCATGAGTTGGTGCTAGGACTGCCTCGTCAATGTGGAAACTGCCAGAACCCAAACTCTCTCTGGTGCCACCATGAGTCAGCACTGGGCCCACTCACCGACTGCCACAAGTCCACACTGGGACTACTTGCCACCGCCGATGCCATCACTGTGACTGAGCTCTTCAACAAGAGGTATGAAAAGTAAAAGAATAAAAAAAAGTGAGAAAATAGATTTTAAAAAGTAAAAAGAAATGAAAGGAGAAACAGTTGGAGCAGAGGAGCCCCAGATTCAGAAGCCCTACTCCACCGCCATCTTATCAGAAACATCTATTGTAGCATCTATTTTAGTCATTTAATAAAAGAAAAGTTGAATTGATAGCAATGGCTCAAAGCAAGTATCTTTAGGTTTCACAGAACAAATTTTAAATAGAAAGAGCCAAGAAGGCTAGCCTTTTGAATTGATAGAAAAAGTGCAAAGGCAGCTTTTCATGGTCCCACGTATGGAGTGTTTTCTTTCCACAGAAGTGCTTTGAATATGAGGAAATAACTGAGTCTTTTTGTTTTTGCATCAAGAAATATAATTATGCAGAACTTCCCTGGGATGAAATTCCAGGAAAACCAGGATATTTATTGTTGGGAGTGGGGTGCAGATGGTGTGTCAGAAACAGGTCCACCATAGCCACAGTAATTGTCAAAGTAGGCTGTTTAAAAGGCCCACCTCAGTGCTGTGATTCTCCATCCTAGTTATAACTTAAAGGAAACAATGTTGTAGCTCTCACTGCTTGCACTCTCCATGTCATGCCAGCTCCATCCCACCAAAAGCTCACTCTTGTTCATCAATGCCAAGCTATGTCTCCCCCACCTACTAAGCCAAGCTTTATTATGCATTCTTGACTAACAGATAAATCCATTATGTTAAAACAGCTGATCCCCAAGGAAAACACTGATTGATTGACAACTCTAGCTCCCTGATCTCTTCTGTTAAATTCACAACATTTTTCACACATGGATGAAGAGTCAAGTAATTGCAGTTTCTGCTAGTGATACTTTAAAAAATCTGGTTTGTTGAACTTTTTATTGGTTTGTTGCAAAAAGAAGTTTTTGTTTAAGCGAGTTGAAAGTAATGAATGAATGGATGACATTTTAAAGATTTTTTTGATATTCTGTGGTCACCATAAGATTTGTTGCTTCTGTACAGTGTATCATGGGTGAGTAGGCATGGAAAAGCCATAACCTGGCATGGAGGCCATGAAGGGCCATGGGTGTTGAGCAGGGCAGGGTAGGTTGAAATGGATAAGATCTTTAACTTGCTTTTCAAAAGGTTACCTCACACAGAGTATGGTTCATAATACCTCTGAGGTCCCATGAACCACAAACCATTTAAATGTTGGCCTGAATCAATGAAGATTGTAGAAGAGCACAACATGGCCATTTCCAGAATTAGCCAGGTTGGGGGAGCAGGATGTGGGCCCATGGCTTGAACCAGACTGGATAAAAGATTTGTGAAAGCAAACTGTTTCTTGCAATGCACACAGAACTGATTTGGGGAGAGGTGGTATTTGGATGTACGTGCAGTTTGAAATGTCCCATCAAGAACCTCTGTACTGTTACTTGGAAAACTGGGCCAGGAAGCCAAAACATCTCACAAACACCCTGTATGTGCGCTTGTGTGTTAATATGTTAAATGTCTTTGGAAGCAATCTTCCCTTAATAATTCTACAAAACTAGTCACAACAGAATGACTAGATCAGTGGTACCAACGGCCCAAAATTCTTCTACTGAACGCCTAAAAATCTTTCAACTTACCTTCTACTCACCACCTCCACTTGCCACTTTCCCCTCCCAATCTCTGCTTCCTGACCCCAGCTCGCCACCCTGAGAAAGTGTGTGTGGAAGTATTGGAGGTGGAAAGCAAGAAGGAAGGTTGGGGAAAGAAGCAGTGAATGAGAGAGAGACAAGAGGGATGGTTTGGAAGGGAATCAGTGAGCAGGAGAGTCAGGTGGGAAGCAGTGAGTGGGAAGGGAGGGGAGAGAAGTGGCAAGTTGGAGAGAGATGGTGAGCAGGCCACAGGAAAGACAAGTGCCGAGTATTAGTTTCAATCTTCAGGAACTGACGAGAGTGAATTTCAGCTGATTAATCATGTTAGACTTGACTTCTTGTCTATTAATTTCCTGTCATCGCATAATCTACCACTTTGCTCATGGGCTAGAGTGTCGGTGAACAATATTTTACCATCACGGTGTGCATGGTTGTAACAATTAAGTGCTCATCAATGATGCACTGTTGTTATACAAGCATGCAGTTTAATGAGACCACTGCTATTGAGTAGTCTGTTGTCCAACAAAGCTTCAACTCTATTGACAGGAGTTTCTTTTTATGGTCTTCTCTCAAAGTAATCTTTCTTCCATATTAATATCCTTAAAAGTAGACACATCTACATAATGTATAAACCTGACTTTTCAAAAAAAAACAACATATGGAATTGATCTTTTGGTATCCGTCCCTGTTTCAAGTTCAGTTTTGGTTGTGAATTAGACATGGTTGATTATCTTCTGGATAACTCCCGATAATAAAACTCCAGCACAAGGAGTATGAGCCTGTCTAACTACATGGTCTCATTTCCCTTACTGCACAGGGCCATTCGCATCCAGTGTTTCCTGATCATGCTGCCCATCTGTTAATAAATCAATTTCATTGACACCGAGGTTTTATAACCCACTCAGCATTTGGATTCAGTTGGTATAGGTCTTTCATGTATGTGTCATCATCCAGACAGCGTTCTCCTGAAAGCAAAACATTTACAGATAAGGTCAATTGATGCTGGTATTGCTTATAGTTAACATGAATTAAATTTTAAAACCACAGATACTTCTGATCCACTACCAGTGTCAAAAGTCAGTAGTTATGATGCTGTGATAGTATGTAGTGCAGATGCTGGAGTCTGAGATAACACAGTGTGGAGCTGGAGGAATACAGCAGGCCAGGCAGCATCAGAGGAGCAGGAAAACTGATGTTTTGGGTTGGGACCCTCCCCCATCTCTGAAGAAGATTCCCGCCCGAAACATCAGCTTTCCTGTTCCTCTGATGCTGCCTGGCCTGCTGTGTTGCTCCAGCTCCACACTATTTATGATGTTGTGCTGAAAGAAAATTCTTTTCAGAGAAGCATGGCATGGTAAGTTTGCAAATGTTTTCTTTAACTGTATAGTAGATGTCCCAGTGGCAGGGGCTGTCCCAGCTGTATCTTACTTGCTAAGTAGATCAGCACTACAGATTCAAGATGGCGCCGGAGCATAGCAACATGTTGCAAGCTGTCTCTGCCTGTACTGCACACAAAACAAAACCTTTCACTGGACCTAGGTACATGTGACAGTAACAATAAATCAAATCAAAAGCCAAATTTCTGCATCAGCTGATTTTAATAAAAAGAAATCCTATTCTTACTCTCTCTACTCTTGCTACCACCACAGAAAGATTGCACCTGTGCCTTGCATTGTATTTAGAAAATTGGTTCAGAAATTAAGAAAACAAGACTGACAAATTTACAGGCCCTGATTTATACTTAAGGCTGTTTCTTAAACTACTAGAGTCGAGGATATCCAAACTGTTTCTGCTTCAGTGCAGCGAATAACTGCGCACTGAAGATCATGATAATCAGTAACTGTAAATAATTCTTTGTACTGCTTTTATTTCTGTTCACATTGTCAAAACAATCAGGCCAGTCAGTATCTATTGATTTTTTTTAGGCATGTTCTTTCTTCCCTTGAATCCACCAAGTAATGTTTCATTTTGGCTGATCAGTTTGATTATTCAAGGACAATTCGGTTAATTAATTGTCATTGAACAGTGTACAAATTTGTTTAGTCAGCTCTCTTTCCTGTCACTTACTGGAGGATTTTTCTGAGTCCAGTTCAGTTAAATTAAGTCACAGGATTTTAAACCTCAGAAGGAGGCTACACAGATGCCAATTGAACAATGTGCTTAATGGCAGATCCCGGTCTTCACTCCATGACCCTGCGCAATCTTCCTTTCCAGATAACAATCCAAATACCTCTTCAGTGCCTCGATGGAACCCACCTCCACCACGCAGCACACAACTTAACCAGTGTTTAAAAATGTTTTTCTTTGACAACACCAAAGAAAAGTACTGTAAGGTCTCAGAAGTCTGAAAAAAAAACTGGAAAAATGCAACAGATGAAGGGTCAGTGTCTCTACAAAGATGCTGCCTGACCTGTTATTTTTTTCCATATTTGCTTGTACTCCTGTCTCCATTGCTCCTTGTACTAACTTTCTTAAATTGGTGTCACTTTGTTCTTGATCGTCCCAATTATGGGCATATCATTTCTCTGTCCACTCTGTTCAGACCCTTCATGATTTTACATATCTGTACCAAATCTCCTTTCCAGCTTTTCATCTCTAGAGTGAAAAGTCTTAACTTCTCTACATAACTAAAGTCCTCACCCCTGGAACCATGCTCATGAGACTCCTTTAGACTCTCTGTAACGTGTGACCACAGAAACCCTACAGCGTAAATACAGGTCATTCAGCCCAACAAGCCCACACCGACCCTCCGAAGAACATCCCAACCAGACCCCATCCCCCTATCCTTTCCCTGTAACCCTGCATTTCCCCAGGCTAACACATCAAATATACACATCCCTGAACACTATGGGCAACTTAGCTTGGCCATCCATCTAACCTGCACATCTTTCGACTGTGGGAGTAAACCGGAGCACCTATAGGAAACCCATGCAGAAATCAGGAGAATGTGCAAACTCCACACAGGCAGCTGCTTGAGGCTGAAATCAAACCCAGGTCCCTGGCACTGTAAGGCAGCAGGGCTAACCACTGAGCCACCATGACCCACCGAGGCTGTTGGTGTGAGAAATGAAAATGTCATGCTAGTTGGGAGGTGATTAAGAATTGAATTGAGGTTCAGACAATGTAGAGGAAGCCTTAACAGGCTGATTGCTATCAGGAAGCATATTGGCTGAAAAAATTATTTTCTCCAAAACAGTTATGAGTCACAATGAAAATGACATAGATTCCTTCCTGCAATTTAATTATAGATTTCTCATGCTTCATACAATTAGCAAATTCTTACCAATGTTTCCTCCAATTTCATACAAGCAAACTTCCTCTTTGTTCGTAGATTCAGTAATCCTGCTGTTATGAACAAAATTCATTGTTAATACCAGATTGTTTTTTTTAAAGTGGACAAAAAGTTATTTGGTGTAGAATTAATAATATCAAGCACAAAAATAGAGTTCAAATACAACCTGTTAGCAATTCGTTACTTTGGTGTCAAGGTAAATGATGAGTAAGTGAGAGAGATAATTTCATAGAAAGTAAATCTGAGGATTTGGCCTACCTGTTCTGACTAAGATATTGTTGGAAGCGTGCCAATATATCACTGGCTTTGAGGTCTTCTGTTAGTTGAATTGCCATGGAAACTTTGGAAAGTGACGGTGCCTGAACTCGTATTACACCCTGAAGTGTGACTGGCTGTAGGAACACATTGTCAGAAGGTAATTCTGTACCATTCCTTTTCACAGAAACTTCCAAATCAGTGACCCACATCCATTAGAAATACATGTATGGAAACGGCACCACTTGCAAGTTCTTCTCTTCACAAGGACCCCACCCTCCAACCCCAAACTATCATCAGTGGTTCCTCCGAATTAGATTTCTGTGCACCTATTAAGAAATTTTAGTAAAGTTAACACGATGTAATGTACTGTTTTATAAATTGCATCTGGCAAAATATTCATCTTTTGACATATTTGATACCCATTGAACTATGCCAAACAATAATTTGTTACACTTTTAAATTCTTTTAAAATGAATCTAAATTTTGGAGTAGCTTACTTACATCGTGAAGGCTTTTATCAGTTTGGTTCCGTTCATGTTTATCTTTATCATACGTCATCTTTTTTAAGAGCTTCATCACAGCCTTTTCTTTGGACAGCTTTTTGTGATGTTCAATGTTTTGTCGTCGGACTTGATTCATAATAAACTTTGGAATCTGAAAGATATTGGAAGAAAATGCTCATTTATTGTTGACAGTTGTCACAGTTTAACTCGTTAACTTAAGACTCTCTCATCATCTTGATGCTCCAACAAAGTCTCTCAATACTGATAATACCGCATCTGGAGTACTAGATGCTGGTTTTGGTTTACTGATCTCAGGAAAGATATTATTGTCATACAGGGAGTGCAACGAAGGTTCACTGGACTACTTCCCAGGGTGGAAGGGCTGTCCTATGAAAAGAGATTGGGCAAACTAGACCTGTATTCTCTATAATTTAAAAGAATGAGAGATGATTTCATTGGAACATACAAGACACTTAAAGGGATAGACAGAGGGTTGTAAACCTTTGGAATTCTCTATCACAGAGGGAGGTGTGGAAGCTCAGTTTTTGAGTAAGTTTTTAAATAGAGATTGAAATATTTCAGATTTCCAGTGTCATGCAGGGTTATGGGTGTGATGTGGGTAAAAGACATTGAAGTGTTTGATCAGCTGTGACTGTATTGAATGGTGGGGCAGGCTTGATAAGCTGAACGGCTTACCCCTGTTCCTATGTTCCTGTGACGGTGGTGTATAAGACAGTCTCTGTAAGGTACAACTCCTTGAGTATGGCCCTGTCAGGTTGGTGCTTGACTAGTCTATATTACAGCTCACCTAATTTTAGTGTAAGCCCTCAGACGTTCATAATGCAGGATTGACAGGGATGATTTTCCTAATGTTGACTCCCATTTCTAAGTAAATTCCAGATTGTCAATCCAGTTTCATTCTTTTTCTTGGGCTTTGTAGTAGTTTGATACAAGTTGTGGCTTGTCAGGCCATTTCCCAGGACAGTTAAGAGTCAATTACATTGTTGAGGGTCTGGAGTCACATGAAAGCCAGACCAGGTAAGGATGGCAGATTTCTTTCCCTAATTGGCACGCGTGAACCAGATGAGAACATAAGAACTAAGAGCAGGAGTAAACCCTTGAGCCTGCTCTGCCATTTGATACAAACGTGGCTGATCTCACCGATGTCTCAACTCCACTTTCCTGCACACTCTCCATGAACCTTCAAATCACTGCTAATTAATAACCTATCTCCTCCTTAAGTTTACTCTTTGTCCTAACATCTACGACGGTCTTGGGTAGTAAATTCCACAGTTTCATGAACCATTGACAAAAAGTAATCTCTCCTCACCTCTGTTTTAAATCTGCTCCCCTTTTCTTAAAACTATGACCTCTTTTCTAGATTGTCACATATGAGGAAACATCCTCTCTATATCTACTTTGTCAATGCCCTTTATCATCTTATATGCCTCAATTAGATCTCCTCTCATTCCTCTGAACTCCAAACAGTATAGGCCTAAACTGCTCAAACTCTTTTCATAAGACATGCCCCTCACTTCTCCTAGAATCAATCTCTTGAATCTCTCCTGAATTGTCTCCAGTGCAACTACATCCCTTCCCAAGTAAGGCGACTGAAACCGTACATAATACTCCAGGTATAGTCTCACTAATGACCTGTTCAGTTGCAGCAACGTTTCCCTACTTTTATAATCTGTTCCTTTAGAAATAAATGCCAAAATTTCATTTGCCTTCCTTATTCATTACTGTACTTCTAGACTAGTTTTCTGCAAGTCTTGCATGAGAACACCCAGATCTCTCTGCACTGAGGTTTCTCTCCATTTAGATACTAAGTTGCTTTTCTTTTTCCCAGCAAAATGGATAACCTCGCACTTGTCCATGTTTAAATCCATTTGCCAAACTTAGGCCAATTTAACTCATCCAATTTACATCCACTTGTAACTTTTTATTCCTTTAGTAAAACTTATGAGCTTTTCATAACCAATGAAGATGGCTTCACAACTGCCATTAGATTAGATTTTTCATTCCAGGTTTTTGTTAATCAAGTTCAAATTTGGATTCAAATCCATGTTACCAGAAAATGAGCCTGGATCGCCGGATCTCTCATCCATTATCATTTGCTGTATCTTCCCCTGAGAGTGAATGCATACAAATTTCATACTGCAAACTCTCACTTTCTATTGGTTCATGTAAGATTTCACTGTCACTTCTACATGCATAATAATACAAGCTTAAAAGCAATAATTTCTCACTTCATTGTACTATGTGTCATGCACAGTTTCTGAATTTTTGGAAATTCTTTACTAGGTATGCCAGAATCCTTAAAATGTACTCTTGTAATGAGGCTCCTTGCCAGGACAGTAAAGTCATCATATTACCCCAAGAAACTTAGAGAACACGTGCTCTGCAAACTTGAGATTGTTCTTACCGTCCAAAGCAGTTCTTGGTATTTAATCAAGTAGCGCATAATGGTGCTTGTCCCAGCAGCCATTGCTAACTGAGTCTTTGAGCAACATCCTTTAAACATAAACAGGTTGGGTGCCATGATGACGGAAACGTTGTTTAGTGTCATTTTGTTGCTCTCCTTGTTGTCAATTAATCTCTGAAGAAATTCAAGCAATGACTGGAAAAGGATATTAATTACATGATCAAGGTTTCAGGGTATTCCTAAACTTAAAAAGAAAAACTGTTTTGAAATGAACCAAAAACACATAACTGCATATTTTTGAAAAAAAAAAGCAAAAACCCTTTCTTTTAGCATATTGAAAAGGACTTTGCTGTCGTAGAGTTATGACTTGTATAGTACAAACTGTGACGTAAATAACAATTTATTCAATATCATCAAATACTTTTTCTCTAATTGTGAACAAATTTATTGCCAGTCCTGATCATGGTAAATTTGATTTAGTCACAAAATAAGACTTCTGCAGTGCAAATATGGCAATATATTATTGATTTTGAGAGGTAACAATTTTCTTCCACTTCAGTGTCAAAAGGATCTAGACTCATGACCCATTTCAGAGACTGGAGTACAAAAATCTAGGCAAACACTCCAAAGCCATTCTGTGAGAGTTCTGTACAATTGCAGGTGTTGCCTTTTCGATGAGACTTTAAATCAAGACCCCATGTGTTTTCAGAAGTGGATGCAAAAGAGTAAAAGAGTTTTAAAGGCAAACAGAAGAGTTATCCTGGATTCATCGGCCACTATCAATCCCTAAGCCAATAACACCAAAACAGATTATCAGACCTTCCCTACATCATAAGGTCAGAAATTGGGATATTTGTCAATGATTGCACAATGTTTAGCACCATTCATGACTCCTCAGATATTGAAAGCAGACCATGTTCAAATGCACAAAATCTGGACAATATCAAGGCTTGGACTGACAAGTGCCAAATGCCAGGTAATGGCTATCTCCAACAAGAGACAGACAACCTAATCACTGAACACCCACGATCAACATCCTGGGGTTACCATTGACCAGAAACTCAACTGGACTTGCCACACACATACAGTGATTACAAGAACAGGTCAGACACAAGGGATACTGCAGCTAGTAACTCACCTCCTGCCTCCCCAGAGCTATTTACAAGACAGGGGACAGCACAGTGGCTCAATGGTTAGCAATGCTGCCTCACAATGCCAGGTACCTAGGTTCAATTCCAGCCTCGAGTAACTGTCTGTGTGGAGTTTGCACATTCTCCCTGTGTCTGTGTGGGCTTCCTCCAGGTGCTCTGGTTTCCTCCCACAATCCAAATATGTGCAGGTTAGGTGGATTGGCCATGCTAAAATGCCCATAGTGTCCAGGGATATGCAGGGTTGTTGGGTTAGCCAGGGGGAAATATAGCAATAGTGTAGGGTGCGATTACTCTGGGTGGGATGCTCTTCGGAGAGTCGGTGTGGACTTGTTGAACCGAATGGCCTGTTTTCACACTGTAGGGATTCCAAGTCGATTGTAAGTAGGCAATGGCCTAGTGGTGTTATTGCTGGACTATTAATCAAGAAACACAGCTAATGTTCCAGGGACCCATGTTCGAATCCTGCCATGGCGGATGGTGGAATCTGAATTCAATTAGGAAAAGAATCTGGAATTAATTGTCAGGAAAAACACATCTGGTTCACTAATGTTTTTCAGGGAAGGAAATCTGTCATTCTCCAGAACCACAGCAATGTAGCTGTCTCTCAATTGTCCTCTGAAATAGCTGCTTAATTGTATCAATCACTTCAAAGTCTCAACAAAGAAATGAAACTGGACAGACCATCTGCTATTGACCTAGGCACCAGAAAAGATAATGGCAGAAACAGCCCTATTGACTCCTTCTTACTAACATCTGGGGGTTAGTGCCAAAATTGGGAGAACTGTCTCACAGGCGAGTCAAGCAACAGCCTGACATACTCATGGATTTATACCTTACAGACAATGTCCCAGACACCACCATCACCTTCCCCGGATAGGTCTTGGTCCACTGGTAGGACAGACCCAGCAGAGGTGGCAGTACAGTGGTATACAGTGTGGAGACAGTTGCCCTGGGAGTCCTCAACATTGACTCCAGGTCCTATGAAGTTGCATGGCTTCAGGTTAAACACAGGCAAGGAAACATCCTACTGATTATCACACACTGTCCTCTATCTGCTGATGAATAAGTGCTCTTCCATGTTGAACAACACTTGGAGGAAGCATTGAAAGTGCGTGGGTGCAAATGGGATATTTCTTGATCCACAACCAAGGGTGGCTTGGCAGCATCACTACTGATTGAGCTGGTTGAGTCCTAAAGGACATAGCTGCTAGACTGGGTCTGCGGCAGGTGATGAGAGAGCCAACAAGAGGGAAAAATATACTTGAACTTATCCTTACCATTCTGCCATTCTGCAAATGCATCTGTCCATGATGGTATCAGTGAGAGTGACCACCACACAGTCCTTGTAGAGATAAAGTCCCACCTTCTCATTGAGAATAACGCCCATCGTGTTGTGTGGCACTATCACTGTAATAAATGGGACAGCCTTTGAAAAAAATCTAGCAACTCAAGACTGGGCATCCATGAGGTGCTGTGGGCCATCAACAGCAGCAGAATTGTCCTCCAGCACAATCTGTAACCTCATGACCTGGCATATCCCCCACTCTACCATTACCATCAAGTCAGTGGATCAGTCCTGATTCAATACAGAGTGCAGAAGGGCATGCCAGGACGAGCACCAGGCATTCCTAAAAGTGATGTATTAAGCTATCAAACAGGACTACTTGTGTGCCAAGCAGCATAACTAGCCAGTGATAGACAGAGCTAAGCGATCCCACAACCAATGGATCAGATCTAAGCTCTCCAGTCCTGCCACATCCAGTCGTGAATGTTGGTAGACAATTAAACATCTCACTGGAGGAGGTGGCTCCACAAATAACCCCATCCTCAATGATGAAGACCCCAACACATCAAAGCCCAACCATCACAAAAGATAAAGCTGAACCATTTACAGCAATCTTCAGCCATAAGTGCCAAGTGAAAGATCCATCTCAGTCTCCTCCAGTGGTCTCTAGATGACAGATACCAGTCATCAGCCAATTCTATTCACTTTATGAGATATCAAGGAATGGTTAGAGACACTTGATACTGCAAAGACTATAGGCACTGACAATTTTCTGGCAATGGCACTGAAGACTTGCACTCCAGAACTTGCGGCTCTTCTAGCCAAACTGTTCCAGCACAGTTACAACACTGACATCTACCCAACAGTGTGGAAAATTGCCCACTTATGTCCTGTACATAAAAAGCAATACAAATGCAACCTGGCCAGTTACCAACCTAAAGTCTACTCTTGATCATCAGTATAGTGGCAGAAGGTATCATCAATAGTGTTTGCCAGATCCATCAGCTCCTGACCTCATTTACAGCCTTGGTTCAAACATGGACAAAAGAGCTGAATTCCAGAGGTAAGTGATAGCTCTTGACATCAAGGCTGCATCTGACCAAATTTGGCATCAAGGTGCCCTAGAAAATTGGAATCAATGTGTATCAGAGGGCAAACACTCTGCTGGTTGGAATCATACCTGGCATATAGAAAGATGGTTGTGGTTGGCGGATTCAGACATCCTGGCTCCAGGACATCTTTGCTGAAGTTCCTCAGGGTAGTGTCCTAGACCCAACCATCTTCATCAATGACCTTCCCTCCATCATAAAGTCAGAAGTGGAGATGTTTGCCGATGAGTGCGTAATGTTCAATCCGCAATTCCTCAGACACTGAAGCAGTCCATGTTCAAATGCAATAAGATCTGGGCAACACAACTCTTTTGCTGACAAGTGGCAAATAACGTTCATGCCACACAAATGCCAGGCAATGGCCATGTCCAGTATGAGACAATTTAACCATTGCTCATTGATATTTGATGGTGTAACCATCACTGAATCCCCATCAACATCCTAGGGGTTACCATTGACCAGAAACTCAACTGGACTCACCACATAAACACAATGTCTGCAAGAGAAGGTTAGAGGCCAGCCTGCCTCCTCAAAGCCTTTCCACCATCTACAAGGCACAAGTGAAGGGTGTGATGGAATACTCCCCACTTGCCTGGATGGGTGTAAAATCCCCTCCAAGCCACTCACCATCCTGACTTGGAAATATATCATTGTTCCTTCAATGTGGCTGAGTCAAAATCATGACATTGCCTCCCTAAGGATATTAAGGTGCAACCTCCAGTGTGGACTACAGTGGTTGAAGAGGGCAGCTCACTTCTACATTGTCATGGGTGACTAGTGAAGGGCGATAAAGTACTGTCCAGCCAGTGACACACCCATCACATGGTGAATAAGAAAAATCATTATCCAATTACAGTTTGTAGGACCTCACTCATTGACTGCAATGTTTCCCACGTTATCACAGCAAATGTACTTCTAAACTAAAACAAAGAATTGAGGATGTGGGAAATCTGAAACAAAAACAGAAATTGCTGAAGAAACTCAGCAGTGCTGGCAGCATCTGTGAAGTGAAAACAGTGTTAATGTTTAAAGCTCAGTGACTCTTCTTCAGAACTGACCATTGCGACCATTCCTTCTTTGTCTTTGCTTTGTCTTGGAGCTACATAGTAAATAATGATAGATAATACACCGCCATAGAGTATTTATTCTTCCTAGATAATAAGAATGTTTATTGTAGGATAGCAATAACTACATATACAATTAGCCAGACTGAATTAGGAGGACTTAATGGAAATGAAACAGATACATCTGCTTCCTCTGAAAGCTGAAGTATTAATCCTGGGCCCCACTGGTGAAAATCTCTGTCACAATGAAGATGCAGTAAAATGTTGAGAAATACTAAGTATCTCCTGAACCCAACATTTATCATTTTCACAGAGGTAGATGAGGAGCTGGCCACAGTTCACACATACACGTTTTGTAGATACAGTTGACCATTTAATTGATCAGCTGCCTCTGATGATATTAGATTTTGGGGTCCCTGGTGTCTGGAACCCAGAATGTGGAGATTAACCAAGTAGGAGCCTGTTCTCAGTGCATTTCCTTTGGATACCCCTTTGGAGACATAAGGTACACTTGTAGATATGGTGGCAGGGCACCTTGGGATGGGGATGGGAGCCTTTGGGTTGGGGGTCAGGTGTCTTTTGGGACTGATAACTGGTGAGAAGATGATGCCTAAATCTTTTGGAACTGTTCAAATTATGAAGACCTTTCAACAAGTGTCAAAGAGTATATTATGAACATAGAAACGATCCACCCTTGTAAATATCTTTCTCCCAGACCAACTGAATTTGTGTTTTCGAAGGACCTGGTCGACTCCAGACCACACAGGAATGTAATTGATTGACTCCTAACAGTTAAAGGGCTATTAGGAGTGGAAAACAAATACTGCCACAACCCAAGAAAGAATAAATAGTTATTTGTGTTTGAAGAACTTCCAAAAACTGGAAATTTGGATCATACAAAAACAGCCTGTTGTTTAAAGAGCTAGGCCCAAAAATTCTTTACTCATCTGAACATTATTTTGCCTAGAATAAGAAACCAAGATTTAGGCAAAATAAACAAACAGTCTTCTTCACATTTTAAAGTTCAATTTTGGAGGAAAAGAAATACATATGTTTAATACAATAGACATACCTTCAGTGTGTCCCTATTTTGGTCCGGAAGGAGAAGCACCAACAAGTTAAGTGCCTGTAGCTGATGTTTTCTATGTGCTAGATCTGTCAAGCAAATATTTCCATCATGTTACTAAAGCGAATTGCATCGCAGAGTCCCCAGATCAAACTATAGTGAAATTGATACAAATGAACAGTACAAATTCATCTGGCAGAAATTAATTCACCCCATGCGAGGAGATCAGATCTTGCGTTTCATAAGTATTTTATATGAGAGCTGCTGGTACCTGTCACCTCTCCACATGGAGTTCACTTAACAGCACAAATGCAGGTCACTTGCCACATGGGTAATAGCTCAAAGGAAAATCCTGAGAAGTGATTAGAGAGGGAAAGAGGTGGGGTGAAGCTAATTCCAATGAACGTAGAGTCAAGGCAGTTTTCTTCCTCCTCTTGGCAATACAGGAAGTCTTTTTGACAATTAAAATAACAAACCTTTAGTTTGTCACTACAACATTCACTGAAGATGTCTGGCACCATTTTAATTAATTAGGTATTGAAGTAGCCTGAGACTATTTTCTAAGGCAGTGGGAGAATTTCCAACTTAATACCTTAATCAACAAACTTAAATCTGTCTGGAGTTAAAACTGGGGTCTTGCTGTTAAAGTATCTATTGAATGAGAAGTTGTTTTAGCAGTGGGAAGCACCCTGCCTCTGAGTTAAAAGATCTAGGTCATAAGATGGCCAAATTTAGGTTGAATATCAACTTGTAAATCCTTGCAATGAACAACAATGGTAGGTGATAAGAAATTTGTTGTCAACAGAATGATTTTTTTGTCAGCCATGCGACTGAAAGAAAGTTGGAATCTCTAATGTCACTATTCTTAGTAATTAAACCTAACTAGCCAACTTTACTTGTGCCTATTGCCATCATACAATAAACTACATCTTGTTGTTAAGCCAAATGCCCCTCCCTGTTAAAACTTACAAGAAGTTCATCCTTTATCAGTGTTAACTAAACAGGTCCCCGGACCCTGTACACAGAGGATGATTGGTGACAGCACTCTATGTTAACAATGAGCTGCCGATGCTTGGTTCCACAACACATGTAGCATTAATAACTTACTCTGAACAGCGAGGAAAGCATCAAGGTACTCGAGAGTGACCAATGGATGTGGCAGCTCTCTTATGAAGAGCTTTAGTATACTTGCTGCATCGTGCTGGCGGACATTTTCCCAGTTAAAGGTTTTCTCATAGAACTTTGCTTCAAGCTCCTCACGTAGACTCTTAAACATATAGGGGAGAAAAGATTAACGCATCACCTTTAGCAAGATCATCAGTACAACATTAGTTTACATTTGAGAGCAAGGTCCTAAATATCCCTTTTTATGTGGAATGGTTATTCATAATTATTTTCATGTATATGTTTTTAATTGTTGTACAAGGAATTTTTATTTGTGCAAATTAAGAAACCTATTGTGTAATGGAGACGAGTGAGTACTGGTCATGTCTCCATTCACACAGATAAGGAGAATCATCAGTTCGTTTGGGACAATATCAGGGTCGTAGGACAGGCCAAACAGAGACCAGCACGGGAATTCCTAGAGTCTTGGTTCTCCACCAAGAAGACCATCAATAAACATGTAGAATTAGACCATATATATATATATATACCAATGCAAGGAAAAACCGGAAATGAGGTAACCAATTCCAACAGACACCAGAGTTTAAATACTAGGCGGGAAAACCCAACAGCACGTCGGAGGCTGCACTGATGATGTTACCCAGCAGGGTAATGATACGTCTGTGAACTGACGAACCAGCTCGGCGCGCCAACCAACCACAACAGATCTACTCAAGAACCTAAGAAGCTATTATTGAATCTGTTAGTACAGGTTTTCAAACTTTTGTATCTTCTGCCTGATGGAAGAGGGTGGAAGAGAATATAACCAAGGTGGGAGGGGTCTTTGATTATGTTGGCTTTTTTCCCAAGGCAGCGGGAAGTGTAGACAGAGTCAACAGTAGGAAGGCTGGTTTGCGTGATGGATTGGGCCATGTTGATAACTCTCTGCAATTTCATATGGTTTGGGAAGAGCAGTTGTCATACCAAACTATGATGTATCGGGATAGAATATTTTTCATGGCAGTTCTATAAAAATTGGTAAGAATCGTTGTGGGCATGCTGAATTTCCTTAGCTTTCTGAGGAAGTAGCATGTTTGTGTACTTTCTTAAGTATAATGTTGACATAGATGGACTAGGACAGATTGTTGGTGATATTTACTCCCAGAAACTTTAAGCTCTCAACCACCTCTACTTGATCACCGTTGATACAGACAGAAGCATATCCTCCAATCCGCTTCCTGAAGTCGATGATCAGCTCCTTCATTTTCCTGGCATTGAGGGAAAGATCATTGCCTTTACACCATGCCACTAAGATCTCTATCTCTTTCCTGTACTCAGTCTCATTGTTGTTTAAGATCCAACCCACTACTGTGGGTGTCATCAGCAAACTTGCAAATGGAGTTCGAGCAGAGTCACCCAGTCGTGAGTGTGTAAGGTGTATAGTAAGGGTTTGAGTATACAGCCTTGCAGGGCAGTGGCGTTGAAGATTATCATGGAGGAGGAGGTCACTTATACTTACTGATTGCAGTCTGTGGGTCAGGAAGTCAAGAATCCAGTTACAGTGAGGGGAGCAGAGTCCTAGGTCTCGGAGATTGGAGATGAGTTTAGTTGGAATTATGGTGTTGACGGCAATGCTATAGTCAATAAGTAGGAGCCTGAAGTCGGTGTCCTTATCATCCAGATGTTTCAGAGATGAATGTAGGGCCCAAGGAGATGGCTTCTGCCGTGGACCTATTGCAATGGTAGGTGAATTGTAGTGGATCAAGACAGTCTGGGAGGCTGATATTTGCCACAACTAACCTCTCAAAACACTGCGTAATGGTGGATGTCAGAGCCACCGAGTCATAATCATTAAGACATGCTGCCTGATTTTTCCTTTGAACTGGGATGATTGTGGTCTTCTTGAAGTAAGTGGGAATGTCAGATCGGAGTAAAAAAAGGTTAAAGATGTCTGCAAATACTCCCACCAGCTGGTCCAAGCTGGATGCAAGTGCACAACTGTGGACTCCAGCTGGGCCAGTCATTTTCCGTTGTACAATTATGCGGTTACCATCCGTCTTTCCTCACTACCCACCACAACCCCACCCCCCACCCTCCCACCCCGTGCTTTTGCTAAGGTTAAAATTACCGTAGAGTGATTTTAACGAGTTGTCAATTTGTTTTGTTCTTACTGAACAAACAGCATTAAAAACACATCAAGAAGTTTTTTTTTATTTCAGTTGGTGCTCATGCATTATAGATGGCAATCTGATGACACTTCATGTAAATTAAATAACTTGTTTAGGTGATTCCCTTGACTGTATTACAGAGTCAGTAATTTAGTATATCATTTTACTTTGTGTTTCTGCAAGTAGCCTCCTCCCAGTTAATATTAATTCTTCTAAAAATACCTTAATTCTTGATGCAAGTCCAGGTATTCGTAGAATCCCTTCCGTGTTTAACCCTTCTTCCTCAATGTGAGCAATAAGCTGCAAAAATATTTTAGTCCCACATTAGCAAATTCGTATCACTTGACCTAAAATATCTAAATCAGGGTAAAGCAAATTGTCAACTTCAGAGATCGTTGCAAATTCTGAACAACGAGGTTATTGAGAAAAGTACTTACTTATCTGTAACTCATACATGTACAATACATTGAGGATCAATTATGTATCAAATTCAAAATAGTAAGGTTAATGTTACACCTATTTGAAGTTGTATGCAACCTTAATTAGTCCATCCTCCAAAATATTGGTTGAGATAATGCACCAATGTACTACTGTATGCCTCCACTGTTGTACTTCTGATGGGATTTAAAGACTCAGAGTCATACAGCATGGAAACAGATCCTTTAGTCCAATCAGTCCATGCTAGCCATATCCTTCCAAAACGTTTTTCTTCATGTGCTTATCCAAATGTCTTTTTAAATGCTGTAACTGAAACTGCATCCACCACTTCCCCTGGAAGTTCGTCTACACGTGAACCACTCTCTGGATAAAGCCCTTCATGACTTTTTTAAATCATTCTCCTTCCACCTTAAAAATGCACCCCTAGTCTTGAAATCGCCCACCATAGGGAAAAGACATTTACCATTTACCCTATCTATGCCCTCACCATTTTATAAGTCTCTATAAGGTCACCCCTCAACCTCCTTTGCTCCAATGAGAGAAGTCCCAGCCTATCCAGCCTCTCTCAATAACTCAAACATACCATTCCTGGCAAGATCCTGGTAAATCTTTTCTGAACACTCTACAGCTTGATAATATCCTTGCTATAGCGGGACAACCAGAACTGCACACAGTACTGCAAAAGAGGCCTTAACAACATCCTTTACAACGTCAACATGACATCCCAACTCCTATACTCAAAGGTCTGAACAATGCAGGCATGTTTGCTGAACACCTTAACCATCCCGTCTACGTGACACAAACTTCAAAGAATTTATGTGCCTGAACCCCTAGGTCTTTCTGTTCTACAGCACTACCCAAGGCCCTACTTTGAATTGTGTAAGTCCTGCCCTTGTTGTTTTACCAAAATGCAATACCCTGCATTTATCCAAATTAAACTTCATCTGCCACCCCCTAAGGCCATTGAACTCATCGATCAAGATCTCTTTGCAATCTGAGATAACCTTCTTTCCTGTCCGCTATGCCACCAATTTTGGTGTCATCTGCAAAATGCCAGTTTGGGGACTGTGCTATCAAATTGACAAAACTTGAATAATTTGAAGTTAATTTCAATTGAATATACATTGATTCTGTACTTACTTTTTGAAGTATGAGTGGGACCTTGGTTCCTGGAAATTTTTTCTGATCCTGTTCCAATAGCACTGAAAGTGGAACCCCAAACAATCCCATTTCTGAAAGTACACATTGAACGCCCAGAGTTACTGAACTTTGAAAGAGACTGTGCCTTCCTGTACTATATGACAGAAAAAAACCTGTATCATTACATTATGTTATATTCTAATCCATATTAAAAAAGTATTTCTACCTTTTTAAACTGGTACTGAGTTCAAAGCTTAAGGTCAGAAATAACATTACAGAATGATTCTAACCTGAAATGAAAGAGAGGGAGAAAGGTTAACTTTTAATGTTTAGGAAGAGGTGAATGTTGAGTATCTGGGACAGATTTCCTGATGCAGCTTTCAATTGAGCATTATGTGCACCTGGATGACTGCTTATCTGGTGACCGAAATGATTTTGTAAATTCAGACTCATTTTCACATTCTGGGCCTATAACTGCATTCGAAAACAGCGACTTCAGCAGCCAGAATACTTGAAGATTATACTAGGATTAGAAAAACAACTTTCCTCATACAATTCTTAACTTCAAATTGCTCCTGGGCTGAAGATAATAATTTGCTCATTGTGGTGACAAGAGATTTTCTCTTTGCTATTTTCCTACTGTAAACTTTGAACTTTACTCTAGACCAGCACACTGTTAGCTGTTGTTATCGACATTTACATTGCTAGGGAAAGTTAACAAGTTCAAAATATGGGTATTATTTTTCTCATTTATATATCCCCATACATAGCACAGGTTCTGCAATCAAGTGTTGGTTCTACCGGAGAGAAAATATTGCAATTAAGCCCATGTATAAGGAAAAGCTGAAACTACATGAATGTTAACATAAGTGAAAACTTTACACATAGACATACAGATTTATCAACCTCATACAGAATCAATGTTTCAAATTGAAGTATTATTTTCCTCATTACCTCTAATTTTGACCCTCATTGCTTTATGCTGTTTAAAATCCACACCAAGAGTATCATACAGAGCTGTTATTTCAATCAGAGCCAAAGAATGAACTTTCTTCATGTCCTGAGGTGCAAGATCTCCAGCTTTCGTCGTACCTGTCTTTTCCTTTGGCAGCCGATAGTTCTTAAGAAAGAAAAAGATAAAGATAACAAAGACTTCATAGACAATTAATACTTTTAAAATATAATTATTATTGTGATATAACAAATTCTGGTGTGGACAATACTCAAATAAATGATTAGTCCATTAGTTTTTGCCATAATTGCTTAAAGGATAAATTTAATGTGAACGTACTAGGTGAACTATGGAGTGTTTGAAATTATGCCAAGAGCATCTACAAAGTCTTTATAAGGAGACATAACACTAACATGCAGAAATCCGGTTATTGTGTCATTATGGAGATGTAGCAATTAAATATCACTTAAACATATTAAGCGTTAGGAAGATATGAAGATACTGATGTCCTGGTGCCTAGATGTTAAATATAGATGAGGGATAATGTTTAAGATGACATACTTAAAAGATATGAGGTATTAAATCAAATAAGCTTCAAAGGGAAGATTTTCAACAAAATTTTAGTAAAGAATGAACAAAATATTTTTAAAGGAATAATGTTTGACATGCAGCACAAGTACCTACAAGCATGAGCTGACATTAAGGAACTAAAGGAAGTGACTTTTAAAAATTATATTTTTAAACTCTGATATCTCTTTATTTACCCTCAATGTCATTCAATTGGATGACCGATTCTATTCCTTTCTTGTTAACCCCAACAGATGGTGGAAAAGGCAATAATTAAATTATAAGAGATCTAGAAGTCTGAATAGGCTTGGTACTAAATTTAACCAACCAATGCACAACAATAATCATTAAATCAATAGAATTTTAAATCATGAGCTACAATCATAGACTACAAGTCTGCAGCTATCATAAACAATTGTACGCACATATAAATATACAGGAATAAGGAATAACAGTAGACCACTCAATAAGGTCATGGCTGACCTGATGTTTAGTTAATGTGGGCTAGGGAGATGCTGAATAGGCTGGGGCTATTTTCCATGGAGCATCGGACGCTGAGGGGTGACCTTATGATTTTTTAAACTTCTATGAGGGGCATGGATAGGATGAATAGCCAAGGTCTTTGTCCCATGGTAGGGGAGAAAAAAACTAGGCGGCATACGTTCAAGGTGAGAGGGGAAAGATTTAAAAGGGACCTAAGGGGTAAATTTTTCACGCAGAGGGTAGTGCGTGTATGGAATGAGCTGCCAGATGTGGTGGAGGAGGCTGGTACAATTACAATATTTAACAGGCATCTGTATGGGTATATGATTAGGAAGGCTTTAGAGGGATATGGGCTAAATGCTGGAAAATGGGGCTGGATTAATTTAGGCTATCTGGTCAGCATGGATGAGTTGGACCAAAGGGTCTGTTTCTGTATATCTCTATGATTCGATGACTGTAATATGTGGGTGTTTATTTTTCTCCCCATATTCCATCAGTACTTTTTTCCTCTTTCTTGAAGGTATTGTAGCATTGAATTCATCATCACTAGTTACTCTTTTATACCCACTTGCCTAAATAGTTATTCTTCATAGTGATCTTCATAGTGATGCTTACATATTAATATGTTGAGGCAGTAAAAGCAACCTTTCAGACAGGTTCACCTACAGAAAGTAATTAATGATGGTAATCCCACAACATTTCCGTTGTACACTTCTCATAAATTGTATTGACCGCAGATTAATGAACAGCATAAATGGAAACACACAAGTCTTTTGAAAATATCTAAACAATAAAATGGTAAGTTAAATAAAGATTAATGTCAATTAGGGACCAAAAATCAACTTGTGGAGTTGGAGAACATTGTTGAAATACTAGATAGTACTTTTAATGTGCTCCAGAGTCTGTTCTGTGCAACAGAATAAGATGTGCTTGTCTTCAATAAAACCCCTGCAAGTGAACATTTACTGAATTAGTTGTATTGAATTCTGTGGGACTTGATTGGTCAAGACCTGCTGGAATTATATGAGTGCGTGCTTCTAGCCAGCTGCATGTCAGACTCTACGAGGAAAAGCATCATCACCCTCTTCTTCAAGCAGAAGGGAAAGATGAAGGAAATCAAAACTTGATTTGATTTAATATCAACACTTAATGTGGTTGTCATAAATAGGCCAAGTTTGCTTTGGTGTTGGTGCTCCACCTGGATCAGACCTGCACTGTAGTGAACAGAAAGATCTCTGTAACATTCGCTAGTTAGATGTTATTACAACATATTAGGAGTCAGCCATCTCCCTTGAAACTTCAGACAAAACTGTTTCTCCATCCAAACACTGTACAATCTCTTATGTTGGGTTCAGCCATGTAACTTCAATGCTAAATCTTTGAGAATTGTTACCTTATACCATAATGCTCTGGCGACAGATTTTAATTTCATCGGATGGAGAAATCTGAATTCAATTCATAAATCTTTAATTGAAAACTTGTCTCAGAAATGGTGATTGTTGTTGTGTAAGGATTTCAGACTTCAGCAGCAGTCTTGGAATTATGTCATAAGATTGCACATCCCTGAGTTTAAATAACAGTCTTGGTAGAGTTAGAACACACTGGAAGAAACTTAGCCAAATTAGACTGGAAGATACATGATCACATGGAGATGAACTCACAAAAACAATAGATTAGCCCTTACCCAAAGCAAATAGAAGATCAAATCCTGGTGTATATATAATTACTATGTACAGCAGTATTTAGTATTAAGTTTCCAAAAGTGGTTTTAATTTAAAGTCTAACCCTAAGATAGTTCTTGGCTTTGCTTCTGTTCAACCAGTCCATAAAGTTCAGAAACTTAAAGCATGGTAACAAACCACGCAGTAAGAGAATTATGAAACAACGATCATGTCTCAAAAAAAATCGTCTGGCTCACTAATGTCCTTTAGGGAAGGAAATTTGCCATCCTGAACTGGTCTGACCTATATGGTACTTCAGACCCACAAAGCCACTCAAATGAAGGACAATTACAATTGGGCAACAAATGCTGGTTTTTCCAGCAATGCCCATATCCCTTTTTTAAAAGTATGTATAAGGAAGAAAGTTATACAGGTAGTTCTCCAAAAATGCGATAGTTGCATTCTTGGATGACCTTGTGCTATAGAAAACCACGCTACTGAAAATCGCCACAGAAAATTGCTTTACCTGTATAGCAGAAAGTTTACATTATCCAAATTCGCATTAACAAAACATGCATTATAACAGGACTACCTGTACCAAAACCTTTTTATATCACTAGTTGGACCCCAGTTAGTTATTGTGCCCAATTAACTTTGGACATCCCACTTTAGGAAGGTTGTGATGATGTTGGACAAAGTACAGAAACGGTTTACAAGGATGGTGTGAAAAAATGCACGATTTCAATTTTGTGGAGAAACTGGAGAAGTTGGAGGTTTCTTGCATTGGAGAAAGGTACAGAGCAATTCAATCAGTGGGTTCAAAGTGATGAAAGGTTTTGGTAAAATAAGGGCAATCTTCTTCCAGTGAGAAGAGAGTTGGAAACTATAGGACACACATTTAAACTGACTAGAAGAAAGGGTAGATGATGGGCCAGTGGCATTACTGCTAGACTATTAATCCAGAAACCCAGCTAATGTTCTGGGGACCTGGGTTCAAACCCTATCACGGCAGATGGTGGAAATTGAATTCAATAATTGAAAAAAA